CCGCCCACGTGACCGGCCCCGCGCTGAGGCGTGGGGCTCCCACCTCCCGGCCGCTCGCTCGTTCCGGGTCCTCCTCCCGGTGCGGTGGGGAGGCCTGAGCGTCCCAGGGTCTCCTCAGAACGCACGGCCTGAGGGCGACTGTGAAGAGCCTCGGGGTTGGCTAGCCCCGGGGCTGCTCGCCCTGGGCCTTTGCTAGCCTGGCCTCCGCGTGCGTGCGCTGTGGCTGAGTGCTGGGGACACGGCCGCGTCTCCTCACGCCACGGGCGCGTGGGGACCTGGAGATGCCAGAGGGGAGGACGGACACCTCAGCCCCGGAGCCACAGCCCCCCAGAGCGGCCAGATGAGCCTGGTGGGGGAAGGGCGAGCCATCATGGCGGGCTAAGGGGGAAGGAGCCTTAGCACAAATCCCGCCATTTTAAGCCGAAGAGGCTCAGACAGGAAGAAGGCCTTAAATGAGGTCACTGCTCGGACAAAGGCCAGTGGGTCTCGCCCCTACACTTCACCTGGCCTCGTCTAAGCCCGCCAGTAGACTTTTCCCACCTGACGGATGGAAGCAGCTCTCATCTGTGGCTTTGGGGCTGATGGAGAGAGGAGGGCAAGGCTGGGAACCCCGGGAAGAATGTGTTAATAGCCATCAACTTCGGGACAGTAAGCAGAAGACTCGCTATAGTCACCTTTTTATCTCCTACCACAGATTCATGGCAACGGGTAAAAGTAATCAAACGTTCAAAAAATGGGTTAGAAGGAGGTGAGAAAGAACCCCGGAGCGCATCTGTGCAGTTCTAATCTTTCCATTTGATATTAACATGCAAGGTGAGCAGGAAAACAAGACTCTGGAGATGAAAATTAGGTTCAGTTTCACCAAACCCTAGTTGTACTAACTTAGGAAAGTTCCAGGAGTTCTGTGTTCCAACCTCTATATTCTCTTCCGTAAAATATGTGTGTGTGTGGGGGGGGGGGGGGGATACATTCTTAATAACATTTTAAGGAGAATTAAATACATATATTTGAAGTGCTGATAGGAGTATCTGGCTCAACATAAATAATGTCTGTAAACAGTGTTAGAGAAAACAACTATGAGGTAGGAAATAAAGACATTGCCCAAGGTTTCACACATCAGTAAGTGAAAATTCTGGCCACATGAATCTAGGTCTGACAGGAAGTTCACCCCTGTGTGCTGTGGTAGTTGGAAAAAAGAGGTGCCTGGAGAACTAACTGGAGGGCAGGGGGAGGCTTACTGAACTGAAAAATTCTTGACAGATTTCTCCTTTCCCTCCTTCAGTTACCTTCTCAGCCTGTTTTCCTTTTCTCTGCTGTTCAGTCAAGTTTTGCCTCTATGTTTTTAATAATTCTCAAAGGACATTTGCTTTCCCCTTATTTATTTCATCCTGATCTTTCACTCTGGCTATCTTGGAATACAGACTTCAAGTGTACCAGTTATATAGAGCGAGATGAGATTATCCTCGGCAGTTAGAACAGGGTCTATCAGAATAAAGAATGAATGAGGGTATCACCTAGCATTCTTGTGGTTTTTCTATTTTAACTATGAATATACCATATTGTGTGTGTCATTCTGTAGATGTATCCAATCGTCTTATTAAAATAAGAAACACAGAGCCAATGTAAA